GAAAAATTGTGCGAGTTAAGCAGCTTGGATTACACAAATTCTTATTGAAACCAATTTTTATTTTCTCTACTCTTCAATTTCTTTAAAATCATTTAATCATATCCAGTTCACATGAGACTTTCTAGATGTTTTCTAAATTTATTACACAAGTTTCCTTATCAAAGTCCCACTAAAAGCCATTTTAAGTTGATAATCAGTTATTTTGCTCACCCTCTTTCCCATTTCCTAATTGTTCTTCCTGATGGTGCTCCACATATTTTAGTTCACAATACTTGTCAAAAAGATAATTGAAAATGGCATAGTATTTTATGAAGATATAACTTAACCATTTGTGATTGTTGTGATTCTCATATATTTATATTGGGGAGGAAGTAAATGCCTTGAATAAGAATATTATTTAGTTTTTCATTTGTATTCCTCAACATGTGAAAGCCATGTTGCTCTGGGAGGGATGGGAGATCATTATTTCATTCTTGTTTTTTGTGTGGTCATACTAAATGCATGGTAATATATATTTAAGGGATATTTATATAAGTTTGCTGTCAGGAGATGCACAACAGAAGGAGATAAGGAAGGTGGAAAATGAGAGGTATTAAGAAAAACATAAAATCGAAGAAAAGGCATGGCTGAGGTGTTGTGTGGTTGTTGCAGGGCGTGGGCGGGTGTGGTCTGGCTGCAGATACCCGTCGAATGTGGACTAGCAGTGGCAGCAGCAGCAGTGGTGCCGCCAGCAGTCATGCTATTGGTGTGTAAACTCTGCAGGTGGCAGTCTTAATTTGGAGAAGCAACAACTCATGCTGGCTGTACAGGCAGTGGCTGGGGGGCATATGACAGGTCGGCAAGCAGCACGAGCCTTCAATGTACCTCGCACCACACTTCGGCGCTGGGTCACCCATGATCGCCGCCTCCACCCATGTCCTTATTGCCCCTATCGTGCTACTGAGCGATCCCACCTCAAGAAGCACCTCGGGCGCCGTCACCGTGACTTACCCGACCAACACAGCTCAGCCATGCACCCCATTCACCAACTCCCCTCCGAACCCGAGTCCCCTCCCCGCCAACTGTTCCGGTGGTAGCCTCGCACCTGCATCCACGCCCCCTGTCTCTGAATCCCAAAATGAAGAATCTGCCTTATCCACAAATGCCCCTTGAAGCAATTATGCACTTATTATCATTCCCCTCAGGATGTCATTGAGGGACCTGTTAGTGAGACTTTTGAAGTCAGAAGTTCCATAGAAGAGACACAAACTTCTTTTGCTCATATCAAAGTCTGGTTGAACCCAGCAGTGAAATGCTACACTACATTTGAGAATTACAGTAGCTAGTATATAGCAGGGTATGGTGCCAAAGTGGTATACATTTAAGCTTTCTTTCTAGTGACATGTTCTTAGGAGAAAAGTGCTCTTCCAGAAGATTTAAGTAGCATAGTGAAGATATTAATTAAAGAAAAAATTGTATATGACCAGTAAGCCAAAGCAGAATGTGATACTAAGAGCATCCTCAGAATAATTTTCCATTAAAGAATTTATGTCTCATTTCAGATATTTGAAATTCTTGCAGACAAATTCACATGATAGAACCACAGTGCATACTGTTTTTGTTTTACTTTTGATATTCAACTGATTTGCTCAATGTGAACCTCATACTGCATCAGTCAGTTACAGTGAAACAGAATACCTTGTGAAGAAAATAACAAGCATAAAGCACTTTGAAATCAAACTAAACAGTATAGTAAACAGTATAGTAAGCCAGTGAGTAGGAAATTATTATGTACCAGGTAGTAAATTGATGAATATCAGGATTACCAGGAAAATGAATTATTCCCATCACAAATCCCTATATACACATGCACACAGTCATAAACCGATGCATATATATGTACACTTACCTAAACCAGCACAATTATACATGACAAATTTATTCAAATACATGCTATTTTTTAATAGATGCATATCATCCACAAACTGCATACACACATGGGATGTTCATATTACCAATTTGTATATTAGAAACATTATTTGTTTTCATATACAAAACTATTTTGTGTAGTGAACTGAGTTTACATCCTGGGAAAAGTATTAGCCATTATAGTCATGTCTTTGTTGTTGACATATTTTGATCTGTTATACATATCTAGATCTACAGGAAGTGAAATTTAACGTAGATGTATTTTTTTAAAACTAGTTAGCAGATTTTAAAGATACATAGCTATTTTTATACACCTGTGTAAGTTGTTTGAAGTTTATTTCAGATTTCAAGTTGATTACCTAAAGTAGGAAAAAAGATAGATATTTGTTTTTTGCTCTACTTGATTCTAGGAAAAGATAATGAATTATGTTTTTTGCAGAAGTATTCTGCCTTAAAAGAACATTATAAAGTCCTAGTTGTGATGATAGTACACTATAGACAATTATAGATGATTATATTTATAATTTATGATGATGATAGTGAGATAGTTTGTTGATTTGGTTTGATTGACTTGTGTATAATAAACTCTCCTGTGGAGTTAAGCTCTGTTGATATTAGCTAGTTAGTCATTAATTATAGGCACCTGTTATGTCACTGAGTGTTATAACTTTTTGTAAGCTTTTCCAAGATATCTATCTATCAAGGAGATACAATAGTAAAGAGAAGCTATGTGGTGTGTATATATGTCCAGGTGGTAGTGCATATGATGTGATATAGTTTTGATAGAAATATAGTTTCAAATATCACTTGAGAAAATCAAAAGAAGGCCAATTAAATACATCAAATTTCTTCTTACTTGTGATAAAAGTAAATGTCTTGCAAGCAAGATATTAACCAAACAGTTGTGTATAGTAGTCATGCGATGACAATACTGTATATTTATTATAAAGTCTTTCATTTTCTTTTTATACTATAGATATTTATATAGAGCAGAAGCCAATGTAGAATATTTTTTGTCTTAGTTTTGGAATTTACTAAATGTTATATCTCATGTAGACAATCAACATGGAATGTGCAGGAACCAAATGAAAATGTAGATTTAAGTAGTGTTCTTATGTAGGAGTCTCTATTCTTGAATAGCTTGAACTTAACATGCAATTGTATTGAAGATTCAGTAGACTTATTTTGAACATGTACCTAAGGAAATATAGGTTCTTAGGTTAGTTTGTTATATGAACCCTTCTTTTCTTTCTGTGCGTGTTTGGCCTTGCATGTGTGTGTGTGTGTGGGGGGGGGGGGATCTATGCTCATGTGTGTTTCCAGTGTGGAAGAGAGTGGTGAATTTGACAAAAAATAAACAAGCACTTGTTTTGCTTTTCAGACACAAGGCAGATAGTTTGCTTTCATGGTTAGATACATAGTGCCCAACAGTTAAACAATGAAGGATATATATTTGAATTTATAATGTAGGATATTAGTTACTCATGATGCTTTGATTAATGTTTTCTTATTGAAAATGTACACAATTTTAGCTGCCTTTCATTTTATGAGATGCTTATCTAACATGCAGTTAAATTTTTCATGTGCGTATTACCTAGTATAGATTACAGTGTTTAGAACGTGAGGTTGTAACAGTCAGAGTGGTACCAGGTCAGACTGTTTGTCTGTCTGGATGTGTGCCTGTACTTTTTGTGTGTCTGTAACTATACGTGTGAAGGTATGTGTGTTTCTTAAAAGCTTCAAAAACAGAACTTGTACAATTTACCCCTTTTACAAATGTTAACTCTTTCTAATAGTGATTTCATGCCATCTTTCCAAGACAAAAAGTATATGCTACATTGACATTGAGAGGAAGTATCTTTTACAGTATTAGCAGAATTCAATGGCATGTTTCTGTTTCCCAGAAGTGAAAAGCAGAATAGTGGAGTGTTTTTAATATATGACAACTGTTGAAATGGAATTATCTCTTTATCTGTTTAGTGACACATGTTAGATGTTACTTTGATAATTACAAAACTGGATACCTGTTATATGTCTTTTAAGTGTTGATGTGTGTGATATGTTCAATAAAAAAATACATTTAAATGTTTAACATCAGTTTTCCTTCATCCTGTTTGCGGAGGATCAATTTTTATCCCTTTTGGGAAGTTTTTATTTAGCTCGTTTGTTTTGTTGGGGTGTATTTTACCATTTATTATTATTATTATTAATTTTTATTATTATTATTATTATTATTATTATTGTTGTTATTATCATTATTATTGTTGTATGCAGTGTACAAGTATTTTTTTGATTTATTCATATATAACTTTGATTTTAAGTTACTGTTTATCAATTCTTTTAAGAGTTGATATATGAATTAATATTTTTGGAAGTTGGAAGTCAGTGCATATGAAGAAAAAAAAACACACACACGGACACACACACTTACATGAAAAAAAGAAAGGAAAAATGACACGCAGTAAAGAAATAAATGAATAAATAAAGAAATGTACACAGGAAAGACCATACCATTTTTTCGGTATTTTCCTCTTTGTTTTATGTTACTTTTTTCATTTTCATATTGTTTCCCTTACTGGAGCATATTTATGTGTATTTAGAAAATATACTCAAGGTTGAGTTTTATTTCCGCACAGACAGAATGGTTGACAAGCTGCCCCTATCTTTACCCACAACTTTTTGCACCTCCACCTTTGTTCTCATATTATAGATATATATATATATATGTACATTTTTTACTAGTTTATAGTAAATGACTGGACTTCTGACTCGATCACATTCACCACCATTTCTGTTGTGACTGGTCTTCCTATCTCCCCTGACTTGACGTTTTCTACTCCTCCCTGATCTTCGGACTTTTGGCTTCTTCCTGTGATGGATGGGCTCTGGTTTAGGGTACTGGACTAATGGAAAGGGTTTGGTTGGTTCCTATAGGGTACTGGTCTCTGGTTGGTGGCAGGTTAAGGTTATATGGACCCAGTTTTGACTATTACGGTATTTTATAAAAGTCTGTGACAACCTAAATCTTCTTGATGGGAAGAATATATTTTTCCTTTGTTCTTTAATTTGTTGGCGCAAATTTAGCGGTAGCTATGAAGAGCACTGGGGTCAGTTGGCTAAGAGGACTTCATAAAGCGTTGCACTTGAGACTTTGGCTAGGGTTTGACATGGAAGAAGACTGACTTTTGAAAGATATGTTGGTTCCAAATTTAAGTATTTGATAGAATAGTAGTCAACTTTCTCTTTAAGGTGCTAAGACAATATCTCGTGTAAAGACAGATAGTATGAATATAGATATTTATCTTATTAAATTTAGTTTTTCACTCATTTAATTTTTTAAAGTATACATTTTACATGTTGCATTAAATGTTGGGTGCAATTTCATTATCAGATGAGAAAATAGCATGTGAAGCTAAACACTTTGTAAATTTCAAACAAGAAATAGTGTGTAGATAGAACAAATACTGTAAATATAAACACTTCGTATTAGAAGATAAGATGGTGATTTTACTTCCTTCATAGTATATAATGTTGATGGTGCAGTTACAGGGAAAATGACAGAAGGATAGAGATATGATTGTTTTTTCAAAGTCTTGCTGAGCCATGAAGTTTCTCAGTGCAAAACCATTTTACTAAAGCGATTTAAATTTTTAGATTCAGTATGAATTTTTTAGAGTAAATGTAGCTTATTAAGTGCTTGTCTAGAATCGATAATAGTAACAGTTGATAGAATTCTGCCACAGTATTTCTTAGGAGCCATTCTAGGATTTATCTGATAATGATTGCAGTTACATCCAGACCCTGACCCTGACTTGTGCAAGATGCCCAACCCTTTCTACTTTTGACATTTTACTCGACTGACAAAGGACTTGTTTTTTGTAGGACTGGGATCATGTTCGTCCAGCTGCCCTCATTCCTGTGGTGGAGATACGCCAACCCGTTGCTGCAAGCACACCCACAAGCATCGCTCAGCTAATGACTGGTGCCTGTCCGAAGACTGCTGCCATACCTATGGGCCCAGCTAGTGGGGCCTTCACTCCCTACACGGCCTCAACCTCCCCAAGGGGCAGTACCCCAGACTTGGCTCAGGTGGCACCTGCCGACAAGCAGTCTTTTATGTGCCCCGTGTGTGGGAAACAGTTTGGGCAGCCCTACAACCTCCGCCGCCACCTGACCACCCACACGGGAGAGAGACCTTACCGTTGTCCCCACTGTAACTATGCTGCCTCTCAGAATGTCCACCTGGAGAAGCACATCCGACGCATACACTTGAATAATGGCCAGAATGAACACCCAACTGGGCCAGCCGTCACTTGGCCCCTGCAAGCCACAGCTGTAACTCCTTAAATAAATTCTCATATCTGCACATCATGATAAGCCTTGTGATGACAAAGTGATAAAATACATATATCAATATTTCGTTATTACTCAGATGGTCAGTGTTTTTTCTATCATATTAAGAGTTGTCTATGAATATTCAGAACAGAATACAATTTATAGTAAAACTTCCTTTTATATAATATCTATTTCATATACTACTTTTTATATACAATGATGCAGTATACAGAGGCCTTTGATTATTTTCTGAAAATATTTTGGTATAAGGATAGTAAAAGTTATTTTACAAGCATTACTCACCCAGCAGTTGGGTGGCCATCAGAGAGATTAGTTCAAGTGGTGAGAAAGCCAAGAACTACAAAATATATCTAAGAGCCTTCTTTAGGATACTAGCTCTTACACATGAAAGCCATAACAAAGCACTTACATGAATACATTTTCTAAGAAGGCAACATCTCTTTTTCATAGGTATCTTACAGTATTTGCAGAGTTGTGAAAATACAACCCCAAAAAAGAAGAAAAAACAGGATGACAAGCATATACTATTGACATAAACACAAACACATACACTTGACGCACTTCAGACACTAAGCCCGGACATTCTTTTACACAAGGTAGACATACTTATCGTAATTTATTTATCCGCATTAGTGATTAAGCACTAGGAGATGACAGTGCTTGACAGAAATATCCAAGAGGTTGTATGATTTTCATTGCAGTATGATCCCTGTATTAATGCATGGTTGTTATTTTGTGTCTCATCTTGTGGTGGTATGGAGTCTCCTCACGCTGCTACATAAGGAGACACAAACTTACTTTCTCTTTTATGGTTGAATAAGAAATTAGGTGTTTTAGTTTTGCTGGAAGTGATGATATAACATGCTTATATATTACAAAAAGCAAAAAACAGAAAAAATTATACTCTATATAAAAGCCCCATTTTTGTATTTTCAGCGTTTTGTATGTGTATACTTCTTTTTATTTATTATTTTTTCCCTCTCTCTCTTGTGGCTTGAAAACTAGAGTATTAGGCTTAGGGCTTCCAGATGATATGATTTAATAAAAACAAAAAAGCAAAAAAAAGCATTAGAAGCATGTATTTTATGAAATATTTCTTCACTTGAGCCACAGATAGCCACTTAGAAAATTCTCAGAAAGTGTTCTTATCAAGTCGTATTTATTTTATTGCATTATATATCAACATATTGGGTTGGGTTAAATGACAAACATGATTAATTTATTTTTGCATGATTATGTTTTAAGGTAATGATTATATATATATATGTAGGATAAGCGGTTGTAACACCATTCTTGAAAGAGCTATTGAGGTTAATCAGTCAATATTTCATCATGTCCAGTCAGCAGATCTTGCTCTTTGCTCAATGACCAATTACAAGAGAATCCCAAAGTACGTTCCAGTCCCTCGAATAGCATCCTTCAGAATTTTTTACCTAGTTTTTAAGGAGTTCAATGTAAAGGTTAAGTACTCAAGGTTCACCGATCAGCCAGTCTTTCATACATCTAACCAGAGGTTATGTTTGTGAATACCTCAATTGATATTGTATGTTTAATCTCAAAGATGCTTTTTTTTTTTTTTATATTGGGGATAATGACATTTTTTGTAATGATGAAATTTAACAGTGATGGTTGGTCAAAATGCAAGGATGAACTTTTGAGTATTTGATGATATTATATACACATATATTTATATACCAAGGCTTGTAGCCTAGATCCTAATGCTTGATATACCCTGTGCTCAACACTATGCAAAGAATCGAAAATCCATTATTATATTGTGTTTACAAGATAATTCTTTTAATACTCTTCTAAGGAAAACTGTTTGTGAATGTATTTTATATATAAAATCAGTGTCAGATATATATTTTTCTCAGAGAAAATTACAAAAAGAAAACTCAAAAGTGTCCTTACTGATTACATTGGGTTGTATTTGGAAAAAAAGAAAGCATTATCTCTACTTCATAGATAACAGTCACTTGTGTTTGCTGAATCAGGAAAAGTTACCAATGTCAATGGTATAATTTAAGTGTTTGTTTTGCTTGAATAACTATTGTGATCTTGGCAGTTTTAGATTTCCTGTTCATCTCATCACAGAAGATGATTTTTTCCATATGAATTATGACAGCATATGCTAAACAAATAGTAAACAGAATGTTACAGATTTGGAGGGGTATTCATAATGACAATGGAAGGAAAAACTTGTTAGATTTATGTTGATTTTTTTGTCCTTTGAATAATCAATATTTGCAGTTGCTGTGCAGTCACAATTCATATATGTAACAATGACAATAAAATTGAATGATTCTTAACCAGACAACTATATCGTTTTTGTTTGTCCGTGTGTAAGTAGATGTGTAGGCATACATGTACCTGTGTATATTTATGAATACTAAACACGATTAGTTTTGTCGATAAATACTTACATAGGTACAAGTATGAATATACATGTAACTCTTGAGTGTGTATATGTGTGCATTCGATTAAATGTGGGGGTTCTTTTGACTCGGGTGTTGTTTTTGGCTTGTGTGAATAAAATCAGCAAGTTTCAAAAGCTGCCAAATAGTGAAAGGTAAATTTTGAGAGTTGAATGTTGAGATCAAAATGGATTATATACTCTTTATGTTATCATTATTTATATGAATATATTTGCAAGTGGTTGAGACAAGTATGTTTGTAAATCAGAGGAAGATATCCTTTAGTGTATTTTATATATATTAAGATATATCCCCGCCCAGCAGAGCACTAGGTAGCAGCATTTGAAGCTGCGCCCACTTCAGTATTTTACCCTAATTCCGGTGATAGTTAGATGCGTTCAGTATTTTTGTTTTCAAGTAAGAATTGTCAATATTTTTTGTTATGGGTCAAGGGTTTAAGCAAATAAAGCTTATCCAATTTTCTTAAGCTTTTCTACATTATATTTATAGTTTCAAAGTGAGTTGAGGAAGAATGCCAGTACATTAGATAGGCCTGGAAAAAGTACCTTTGTTTTTGCTGTATTGTTTGTGACTCAAGAATTGAGATTAGAGGGTAATTATTTTAGAGACAGTTTAGGATGCCATGAGCATGTACAACTTCGTGATATATAAGAAACCTTTGCTGGTTAAAAATGCTTTCAGTGAAATCTTTTTTTGATATGTCCCCTCAAAAATCCTCATAAGCAGAAACAAAGTAATATTTTTTACGTGCCTTAATTAGAAATCTTAATAGGACGTATCCACACATCCCAGATAGCGTAAGAGAGACTGTAGCAATGCACAAGTTAACTGAAATTTTTTATCAAAACTGTGATCTTATGCCTTCCAAGTGTTAATTTTTTTTTCTTTCTGTTTTCTGAGCCGAGGCCTTGCATTCTGTAATAGCAAAATAGAAAATTAATATTCCAGTATATACTTTTGGAAAGGGACACTATTTTTGGTACTTTTGTAGAATGCTTTTGTAGCTTTTCTAATAAATATTAAGCATATATTGGTGTGTTTTTTCTACCCATATTAAAAAAAGAAAGAGGAAGAAAAACAATATATATATATTTATATTTATTATATATTTATATATTATATGTTAATATATAATAATATACACATACAAATACATATTATATATATATATATATATATATATATATATATATATTATATATTATAATATATATAATATGTATGTATATGCAGGTGTGGGTATATACTGCTTGTATTTATGTATATACGTATATATGCCATATGTATATATGTATAGTCTGTTTGCTGTCAGTAAGTCATAAATTTCATATTAAAAGAAAAAAAAATATTACATTGATGAAAAATTCTGGCTTCAAGATTGTCATCATTCCTCAAAGCAAAGTCATTTTAATGAAATCACCAGAAAAAAGGTTGAAAAGATTTTTTTTTTTTTCATTAGATTTAAGTTACACCCAAACACAAAGAGTTTCTTCTACAGAGTCTTTTGTTAGATACATATGTGAAATGCAACTTTTAATTTCCATGGTGGAGGTTTCAAGGTAAATACCTGGATGGTCTTTGGAATGCTGCACAGTTTTCCTTGGGAGATGATATAACAGACATTAGGACATTTCTCCTTTTCCATAATTCCTATCAGATATCCTAAGCCACTATCTTCTGGAGTGGTTGCATTACTTACTGATTATTTGTCACATCTTATATTACTAGATGTCAAATTAAAAACCAATTTGATTATTGCAATTGTCATGCACTGTCTGTTGAAATTCTCTTCATCTCTTCCAATGAAACAGAGGCAAAGTACTTTATACTGACAGTCATTTTGCATGGATAGTAGATGTGCATGTATTTCTAAACATCCTTATGTTGGTTCCCATTTTGATTATTTATTTTTTCATTTTTTGAAGTACATCTTTGTATGTTTGTCTTTTTTCTTCTTTGAGCATGATTGGGAATATGCCATATGATAATTTTATATCTATGTGCTAGATTGCTTGGTAATCTTACAGCATTGTGACCATGACTGTCTCACTGAATGCTGGTATTGTGCACTGGGATGAAAATGCTAAATTTTTAAAAATCATTCTAAATTACGACTTTAGTAGCAATTATTTAGACAGTGTAGGATTGTGCGTTTGCTATAATTTTCTTATTTCATTCCTGGTAGATTATTTTATGAAGGTATGAACCATTCTTTCTATGCTGATTCTTGCATGAAAATATGTGGTATTGTCTCTTTCTTAGTTGCATTTTGCATTATTATTCATATAGCCTACATAAGATAATAAGTAATATTGCCATATGAATGTTTTTTCTATATATAAGTAGGTTCCATAGAATGTTTTGTTGTCCTTTTTAGATTGGACTTATTTTATAACTTTGTGTGTGTAATTCTGCACATTTATTTTGTCATACCCATTTTACATTTTGGTAAAGTATTGAATAGGAGTAAAGATTTCAAAGTATAGACAAATGTTCATGAAATAACTAAATTCTTGATTATCAGTAATAGTTGTGATGAAACAGAAAAGTCATTAGTAATTATAGTTTCAAAAAATACATACTAAGAAAGTAAAATGCATCTTTATTACTGTCAACAAAAATTAAAGATCTTGTAATAAGTCATTGCCATTCACCACAGGATGAAGATGATGACCATGACCATGAACATGATGACGACCATGACCAGATGGATGGGCTTCGAGGGACCATCGCCTCGTCGCTTGGCAGTCCCAACGGCCCACCCCCTTTAACGCCCATTTCGCAGGTAGGATTTCTTTTTCTCTCCACGTTTCTCTCTTTTGTATAGTTTATATGTATATTTTTTGTATGTATTGTAAGGTGTTTTTCTTTTTTGTGTGTGTTTGTATTAGTATGTATGTGTTTGTATTTGTGTGTATGTTTGTGTGTGTGTTGGTTGCTTTATAACTGCTCTTTCTGTGTATGTTTGTGTGTATGTATATTCATCAGTGTATGTGCAGATATGCTGTATGGTGCTCAAAGAAATTGTTAGAATGAACAGTTATAGTTGTTATAGTTGTTTTATAGTTAAATCTTTACAAGTAGGACTGAGCTGTGTTTGTCGGTGATCTAGACATTTGTACAGTAGATCATTTTTTAATTGCAACTATATCCTTGTATAAGAAGTAAAGCCTGTCATTCTGTAAACTTTATATGGAGGATTTACATAGTTCTTAACAAATTTTGTGATATGTAGGGACTTTTACTATCATATTCAAAGTGATGTGATGCAAAATTTTCAGATATGTAATACCTTGTTTTGATAGACAGTCTTAGTAATAGATAAAAGCATTATTATGCTCAGCAAATAAACATGAACAAATAGATATTGATTAATAAACAATTACATAGAAATAATCATATGCACATAAATACACATTTACATATGCTGTATATTCAGTCACATGCTAAGGATCACACAACACACACTCAAGTACATACACACACATGCCGGCACATGAACACATATATGCACATTCGTGCCTATACATGCACACACATGGGCACATACATATGTACATGCATGCCTACACATGCACACACATGGGCACATACATATGCACATGCATGCCCACACATACACATGCATGCTTGCACATAAACACATATATGCACATGCATGCTGCACATAAACACATATATGCACATGCATTCCTACACATGCATGCTTGCACATAAACACATATATGCACATGCATTCCTACACATGCATGCTTGCACATAAACACATATATGCACATGCATTCCTACACATGCATGCTTGCACATAAACACATATATGCACATGCATTCCTACACATGCCTACACATATACACACATGCCTACACATACACATGCCTGCCTGCACATGAACACATATATACACATGCATGCCTACACATGCACACATATATACACATGCATGCCTACACATGCACACATATATACACATGCATGCCTACACATGCATGCCTACACATGCACACATATATACACATGCATGCCTACACATGCACACACACATGCCTACACATACACGTGCATACCTACACATGCACACACACATGCCTACACATACACATGCATACTTGAACAGGAACACATATGCACACACATGCCTACACATACGCATGCATTCCTACACATACACATGCATGCCTGCACATGAAAACACATTTGTACTCGCATACCGACACATGCCCACACATGTACACATACATATGTGCACAGATGCCTACTCATGCCTACAAATGCAAATGCATGCCTACACATGCGCATATGTACACACACATCTGCACATGCGTACTATTACATGCACACACATGTACATACATGTCTATACATGCACACATGTCTACACATGCACACACATGTCTATACATGAACACATGTCTACACATGCACACTCATGTCTACACATGCACACACATGTCTACACATGCACACACATGCTTACATATGCACACACATGTCTACACATGCACACACATGTCTACACATGCACACACGTCTACACATGCACACACGTCTACACATGCACAAACATGCTTACATATGCACACACATGCCTACACATGCACATACATGCTTACACATGCACACACATGCCTACACATGTACACATATGCAGATAAATATGTGCATGCCTGCATGCATGTGAACACACACACACATACATGTGCACATATATGTGCATGCACATACTTATTCATATGTGCATGCTTGCCTATACACACACACACACACACACACACACACACACACACACACACACACACCACACCACACACCACACACACACACACACACACACTCTCACTCTCACTCTCACTCTCACTCTCACTCTCACTCTCACTCACACTCACACTCACACTCACACTCACACTCACACTCACACTCACACTCACACTCACTCTCTCTCTCTCTCTCTCTCTCTCTCTCTTCTCTCTCTCTCTCTCTCTCTCTCTCTCTCTCTCTCTCTCTCTCTCTCTCTCTCTCTCTCTCTTACTGACTCACACAGGTATCTTTTCTTATATATTAATAAACCAATGTGCTTTCAGGCTCGACAGTGTCAGCTGTGCCTCGTGACGTTGGCAAATGCAAACCTCTTGCGCCGTCATGTTGAGGACCACCACTTTCACATACGTAAATATGACTGTGTGCATTGTGGAAAAAAGTTCAAAAGAAAAGAGCACAGGGAAAGACACGAGCGAATACACACAGGAGAAAAACCCTTTGTTTGTCACATTTGCAATGCGAGGTGAGTCACATTTTTTTCTTTATTTCTTTCTTTCGAAATCATGAATTTTATATTATATGATCAGATTATGTTGTGTCATTTATTATATGATCATCAGATGATGTTTTGTGTTTTTGGAAGTATTGTTGCAGTAAGATATTAAATGTATCTTTAAGTACTTAATGTATCTTTTTATAAAGGATTTTATATTTTAAAATTTCAAGATTCGTTTCTTTCATCAATAATGGAAGGATATGTTAGAAATGAAACCTCATGAGACCTGCTGTTAATAGCCAAGTAACTCCTCTTCATCCCCAGATTTACTCAGAAGGAGCACCTAAAGGGCCATGTGGAGAATGTCCACCACAAGCACGGTGAGAAAGGGATGGACGACCTTGACCCTCTGGAGGATCGAGAAGACCGTGACGATGAGGAGATGGATATCCCCCCTCATGCTCCTCGCCCCCTCCTTCCTCATCGACCTCATCACCCACCCTCGCACCTGTGTCTTCCCTTATCTCCCTGGCATCGAGTGCCTCCCCGCTTACCTCAATTCTCCCAGCCTCATCGCTGGTCTCATCCGCTGGGCTGTCCACCTCGACATCCCTGGCCAATGATCTCAACATGAACCAGTTCACAGCCCTATATGCGCCAGTGACGCGGAAGACTGTGAACTCGCCAAACAAACACATGCAGACCATTACCATTAATTTTAACTAGTGCCAATTAGCTAAGTGCCTTTGGGTATGTGCTTTTATAATTGAGATTCATACATTCCCCCCTCCACTGCCATTATAATTTTGTTTAATTTTATTCTATTTTTTGTATGAAAAAATCATTTCATTTTCAGTGTTAGTACTGTAGTATAAGATTTTTTCACTGCATTCCTCAAAATGATTCAAGCTTGTTTCTTCTCTTTTTCTCTCTCCTCTCTTTCTTTCTTATAGTGGAGAAGACAGTGAGAGTTGTATTCTATCATTAACAAATGTTACCATAAAGCCACCAAAAATTAGTTTATCTCCAGTGAATGACACACTACATATGTAAATCTTTATATACGTTCTATCATTGAGAGTGCTAGAGGGCCTGTTTTTTGCTGAAGTAAGGGATGATGGCATTAAGGTCTTTCACTAAATGGAAAAAAAAATCAAAATCAAAAAGAATCTTCAGAATGTGCCATTGGGCTTGTACTATAAAGTATTTTAGTTGGGGAATTTTTTCTTTGGACCCAAATATTTTTCATTGCTGGGGGAGGGAGTATCACACATGAAGCTGCTTTTGTACATTGCACATTTTCAAAGAAAAGAAAATTTAAGAAAATGTTTGTACATTTTGGATAAGACTTTGTTGTTCATTACCAGGAATAAGACTTGAAACTACACAAAATATAATGGGCTTCCAGTTACCTTATTGTTTGTTATATTAAAGAAGAGACAGTAGTTCTGAAATGTTTTTTTTTTTCAAATTTATTTAATTTTTACAGTGGTGAGAATTGCTTTACATGTTTCAAAGTTTTTGCTTTTTGATTTATGCTATCGTGAATGGTACTAATTGCAAATATGTCTAATGTTATTAGTTTAAAAATTATCTGGTATGTGAGCATTATGAAGAAAATAGATTACATTGCAAAAAGAATGCAGAGTACTGATGGTGCATAATGCCTGATGGTGACCAGCAGGGGTTATATTAAACAGGGCATTACTCCTTCATGAATGACTGTTGTGAATAGTCAGTCCCTTTTCGTTCTGCAAATGTCTAGGTGCTCTTTATAATAGAAAGCAGGCTAGCAAATGATAAAATGTACATAAGGAAACGAAATGCTACTCCATATCAAACTTGATGATGCCAGTGTCTTTTATTTTACTGCTCCTGATCTGTGCATGATTATATTCTTAGGACTCTCTTCTGATACCTTGTGATGTCTTAATTTTAGCAGGATGAAGTTCTTGAGAACCAAGGTCACACAATAAAGAATAATTCTACTTTTAGGAAAAGAGCTTGTATTCCTTTGCTGAGAAAGGTAGATCTTTGTTTGCTATGTATAGAAAAAGATTTTAGAACTGTAATTTTTTTTACCATTACAAATGTCTTTATTAGTCGAGAAGTTCACAAGATATATATCAGACACAGATTTGTGCTAAGGTGAGAATAGGCTTAAGAGATGCTCAATAAGTGGGTAACATTATAACCTTTATCATCATCTAGTTATTTCCTATAAATGTTGTTCACTGAAATAAGATGATGGTTTTAAATTGCATTTCACACTTGATATAACCTGTTTTTTCATGTTCATCTCTTTTCTTTCATCCAATATTTTGACATCATATATTTCTCACACCCTCATGAAGGATACATACTGTGATTTTTCCTTCTTTTCTTTCCAAAGAGAATAAAGATATGGAAAGGCATAAAACTTTCTCCTTTCAGAAATGTCTTTACTCTCTTTCTCTCTTGACTGATCAGTATTGAAATTGGCATGTTATCATCCTGTCTGTTATTCTTTAATTGGTTAATATTTGTATGTTAAATCTTTATCTACTTTATATTCCATGTGACATGTTTACTATGTTTGCTAATATGTAATGCTCACTTGGGAATGTTATATAGATTTTCTTGGGTTCAACTGCATTTATAGTTAGTTGGATTAGAAAGAAAAACAGTTAATGGTTTCCAAGAAATAATGCACAGCAAAATTATATGGATAAAAGGGGATTAAAATAGGACAAGCACATTTCAGCTTCCTAACCCAGAGTGATTAGAAAGAAGTGAACAGTGATAAGCATGTAAGCCCTTCCCTGATGTGGAGGTCAGCAGGAAGGAACTCGTCAGTTAGTTGCTCTTCCCAGAACTTGAAATGAAGTTAGTGATAAAGAGAATCCACATGAATGATTATTTGATCCCTTTTCTCAGCAACTGACCAGTTTTACCTGTAATCCTCTTGGTCTGCCTTGATTCTTCATGTTGCTCTAGCTGTTCCTTGGGTCTTACTTGTGTTTTCTCTTTCACTTTCCTACCTAAAGGAGGACCATATTACAAATACCATTCCTCTCATTTAATGGTTATAGTGAAACCATTTACATGACATGTCATTGTGGCTTTTTTAAAAGTAAGAATCATTGATGGTTATATTTTTATTCTTTTTTTTTTTTCTTTTTTTTTATAAAGATAATTTATACAAGTAATCAAAAGTTTGATTACCAAAATCTTGATGTAGGGTATTTAAAATATAATTTTAGGACGTTAGCCATAAGTTACATGAACTCATGCAGTGCCTTGCAAGACATTCCAATATGAAATAGTTTATAAGGGGTATTGTAATCTGATGGCTATAGGAGGTACAAGACTAAAAGGAGTAAGAAATGTATGTCAACATGCATTCGCTAAGTAAAAAAAAATGCATGAAAGCGCATGCTATGAATATGTGATAATTTATCCTTTCCACCGTTACTAGTTGCTGGTCAGTCTTCAGTATGTATTGTTATGAAATTGATATTGTAAACTTACTGTATTAGAACTGTGTTCAGTAACTTGTGCCTTTTGTTTCTCTGTGATCAAGGGAAGACAAAAAAAAAATAGGGGAAGTTTGATGTGAGTTAGGTATATGTTGTTAAGTTTAGTAATAGCTTCTATTCAGAGAATGTAAATTTGGCTTTTGAGTTAATTCTTTAATGAGTATGGTAAGTAATGAAAATTTATGGTAAGATTTTGTTGCCAGAATGCAAAACACAAAGGCCAATTATGTAAAAGAAAGAGTGAATGTGTAAAGTACACAGCATTCACTTATGGTTTATTGTTCAGAGGATTTCTGTTATTAATTTTTGTTTTTGTTTTTAGTTGTGCCACCTTTTTTGAGGTCTTGTAGTTTGTCAAGCTAAAATGAGGCTCAACATTGGTTTAATGAAGACTCTTCTGTGATAAAATGATTACTTCTATTGCATAAAACCATCTCCGTTATGTATGTACTTGAGCATACACACGCACACACAAAATCACGTTTCATATTGTATTTTAATCTCGTCATAAGTGAGGTGGTTTTACTTAAAATCAAAATACATGATGTGATTTTTGTGCTCATGTATTTTGTTATATGCCTTATTTTCTGTACCTGCATTTCTGTTAACAATTTTAACTTCTAGGAGAGATTGATTAGTGTCCAATATTTTTTTGGGCATAATTTTCTATGTTCCTTTATGTTTACTGATTTTTTTTTTTCAATATCTGAATGAAGAAAACAAGCTTCCCAAATGCAGATGGTTCCTGAGGAATTCATCTCCACAGATTTTATAACTCATTTCTTTATCTACACATCCTAGGAAGCTGAATACATTAGTATTTCAATTCAGAAATCACAATGATCTGATAGACCATATTGCATTATGTACTTATGGTGTGGTTGTGAAAGCAAAGAAAAATTAAAAGGTGTCCTTTACAATAGATCCCTAACCTACAATATTGATTCTCAGTGTATACATTCCAGTTACTTTTATTTTTCAACTTGACATTCCTTACAAGAAGTGATGATATTCTTTTTAATGCTGTTTTGTGATGTGTCATTGGTATGAAATATTGTCTAGATATATTTACCTCTTTGTAGCTTTAAAGCTATCATTTATTTTTAAGTTCAAGCTTGGTGTTGGGTCTCTGGGGAGATAAATAAAGACATTGTCTAAAGATGTGTTTTAATCTTCACTGGCATTAGTTTTCCTTCACCTTCTGTGTTCACACTTCTAAATTTCCACACTTTACACTGCACTAGTAAATTTTAATTCCTGGTAACTATCTCTTCTGAAATATTAAATTGGCATAGTAGAAGGAAGTATATTTGAGTTATGGATGCTTTGAAATTATGTGTGAAGCTTCTATTTGTTCTTGTCTATATATAATAGCACTGTATTATTCCCAACATTTCTGAAATCACATATCTCATAGTATTTTGGATGTAATTACTCTTGAATTCCTTCATTTTGCGTTTTTTGCAACATTTAAATCCACAAGAATGTATATTTACACATATTAAAGCCACCAGGTATGGCATGTGAGTACATACCATACCTACTGCAAATTATTTTATTATATGTCTTTACACATGGATGGCTTCTCAAGTACTTAATCAGCAGTGAGCCTATTACCATTACTACCTACCGCACTTGTTTACTTAAAATCTTATGTTGCTATTAGTAATGTCAATAACATTATAATTATTATGTCTATAATAATAACAGTATAGTATTGATAGCATTAGTAAAAAAAAATATTAAAAAATCCCAAAAACTCAACAAAGGTACTGTCTACAACTATCTAGCTAAGTACTTGTGGAGGCATCTATTTGTAGACAATTCAGTGAATAATATTTCCCTGTGGCATTGGATTCACAATCTATATTTCAAATATACATATACATATGAACATTTTTCATGCATATATTGTTTATATATGCTAAATCATAAGCAAATGTATATCATGAGACGTATGCAGAAGACCTGTAGTTATATCTTTGGAAACTAGCTCAAGCACGTATTTAGCTTTATAAAATTAAATGTTGTGCTCTTTACTTCCATAAAAATAGTGTAAGAAATTCACATTATAGTAGTAAAATGAGTGACAATTTCATCTAGAATTCCCTCAGTACATCTAAATAGGTTTGGAGTAGTTTCTTTAAAGCTAAAAGGTCCATTGGCTTATTGAGACACCTGTGCATAGACACACTTGTGTAAACAGATGTACACTCAGGCTCAATTTCAGAGCACAGC